CGCGAATATCTCAAAAACGCGCCGCCGTTTTGGTACACCTTATCATACATCAATTCTACACATGTTGTGAAAATTTCAGACCAAGGTCATTCAAGGTCAGGTCACCAGGTCACTTGAAGTGACCTCACCTCATAAAAAGTTTCAATGTCTGTCATAGCTACACCGAGTGACCGATCGCTTTGAAACTTTCAGGCGGGTTTCAGCGATTGCTAAGAGCAACAGCATGTACAAAATGTATGTCTCAGAATTTTGATATCGATGACCTAAGGTCAGGTCAATTTTGCGACCTCCCCATTACAAGTCAATGGGAGAAAATTGAAATGCGCCTCTTTTGGACGAATGACATTATAAACACTCCCAAACACCGAATTACTAGTGGTTTAGACACACTGAACACGAAAATGGTGTCCGTGGCCCTTGTTTACTGCCCTGAGGTCATCTTAGGTCACGAATGGTATCTAACAGTTTTTCGCAAATAACTTTTGATAGAGGCATGCTAGAGCGATGAAAACGCCTTAGATGTGTTCAGCTCGACGATACGGATTGACTTATATCCCTCGCCCGTATAGGGGGGGGGGTCGAACGGACCCCCCCATGGTTTTTCGCGAATAACTCGCGTAAAAAGCGGCCGATTGCGACGAAACTTTCAGTACCCTCGCGTTAATCAATTTTACACCTACCCTGAAAATTTCATGACCCTGACCCAAATGACCTTTGACCTGTGACCTACTTTTCGAGACCATGTTTGGACGGAATCGCGATTCGGCGTATGTCGGCTCGCATTAGCAGCGCGTTTGCAGTCTTTTCGTGGTTTCAAGCGTTCAAACATGTGATATGATGTTGCCCCTATGCATTAGGGTGGGTGTCAAGGTCACCTGAAGGTCACGTCAGGTCATTGACCTTTGATGACCTCGGTTCACTTTTTCGAGTTTTACATGTTTCTAGGCCAGTTTTGGGAGCTGAATTCGAATTTAGCAACCATATGAACATTTACGAAGTAGTTTTGGTGCCTTCGTAACATGTTACGAAGCTGTCAGAGGCGGTTGACAGCTACTAGGAATACCCGGCAGGACCCCTACTGGTTGACCTGACCTGACCTGACCCGACCTGGACTAAATGCATGAAGACATCATCTGTGATCAAAACTTTTACTTTTGTTTACTTTTTGGGATGTCCGCTGTTCCTAGCGACTTTATTTGAAAGTGCGGCATTTGTTGCGCGCAAAGCAGCATATACCACCGCGTGCTACAAAACGTTTTAGTCAAACATTTAAAAATCGTTAGATATCTGCGCTGACGTCACACATTCAGAGGGGTATTCCTATGCATTAGCCCCTCTGAATCAAAATGCTGCAATTTTGAAATTCAATATTTCCGATTTAAGGCATTTCTCGATGTTGTGAGTGCCGAAACAGGTAATTGTGAGCCAGGGACCCCATTTTGGCTATCTCAACTCAAATCTAATGTTAAGGTGGGAGGGTCCCTTTAACCCGCGCCCGGCTGGGGTTCGTGGATTTCCACGCCCTGCTGGGGGGGGGGGGTGTTTGAACATCCCCCCTTGTAACTCGGCTCCTGGGCCACGTAGCGATACGCGGTAGGCGGCGTTCGAAAGAGCGTCAAAAATAATGACGAAATCACTTCGGTCAATTTTTTGGTCAGGTCAAAGGTCAGGTCACCAGAGGTCATTGAAGGCAAAATTTCGCCGATTTCCAGGTCGAATATCGAAAATCTCGAAGAAGCCAACGCATAACTCGAGAACCAATAGAGCTACAGCGCCGCGGAAAATCGCATTCGATAGCCCTATTAACCCTCGCCCGTATAGGGGGGGGTCGAACGGACCCCCCCCCCATGGTTTTTCGCGAATAACTCGCGTAAAAAGCGGCCGATCGCGACGAAACTTTCAGTACCCTCGCGTTGATCAATTTTACACCTACCCTGAAAATTTTATGACCCTGACCCCAATGACCTTTGACCTGTGACCTACTTTTCGAGACCATGTTTGGCCGGAATCGCGATTCGGCGTATGTCGGCTCGCATTAGCCGCGCGTTTGCAGTCTTTTCGTGGTTTCAAGCGTTCAAACATGTGATATGATGTTGCCCCCATGCATTAGGGTGGGTGTCAAGGTCACCTGAAGGTCAGGTCAGGTCATTGACCTTTGGTGACCTCGGTTCACTTTTCGAGTTTTACATGTTTCTAGGCCAGTATTTGGAGCTGAATTCGAATTTAGTAACCATATGAACGTTTACGAAGTAGTTTTGGTACCTTCGTAACATGTTACGAAGCTGTCAGAGGCGGTTGACACCTACCAGGAATACCCGGCAGGACCCCTACTGGTTGACCTGACCTGACCTGACCCGACCTGGACTAAATGCATAAAGACATCATCTGTGATCAAAACTAACATGATATTCGTGATCGGCGCCCCGAAAAACCCCATAGCAGCCACACTTTACGACGTTCTAACAGGTCCCGATTTTCCCGACTTTTGGGTCATTGACCTGACCTGCAAGGTCAACCAATGACCTAGGACCTTAAAATTAGGTATCATCGGCTTCCTCTCGTCACGGGCAACACGCTCGTTTTTTCCGCGAAGCTCTAGCTCGATCAGGGGCGAAACGGCAAGGGGGGGTCCAACGGACCCCCCCCCCCCTTATACGTTCGCGGCTGGAAAAACACCAATACGGGCGAGGGATATGCAACATGACCCTTTCCGGTCAGGTCATTCGATGATTGCGAGGGATATGCAACATGACCTTGACCTGAGGTCAAATTTTCAAGTTCACCTTTCAGGGTCAAGTTATAGCTCATTCGATGCGTCTTGACGAGAGGAACACGATGCCGGTAAAAGTAAGCTCGTACAAGGCTTGGGTCAAAAGTTATTGCCGAAAAACTGTTTCCGAAAAAAAAATCGGCTATTTTTGCAGTTTTTGCCCCCTGTAGGCAAAACCGTTGACGTTAGGTCAAATCTGAGAGAATTACTCAGAAAGGGCGTTAATAGGGCTATCGAATGCGCTTTCCGCGGCGCTGTAGCTCTATTGGTTCCCGAGTTATGCGTTGGCTTCTTGGAAATTTTCGATATTCGACCTGGAAATCGGCGAAATTTTGCCTTCAATGACCTCTGGTGACCTGACCTTTGACCTGATCAAAAAATTGGCCGAAGTGATTTCGTCATTATTTTTGACGCTCTTTCGAACGCCGCCTTCCGCGTATCGCTACGTGGCACAGGAGCCGAGTTACAAGGGTGGGGGTGTTCAAACACCCCCTCCCCAGCAGGGCGTGGAAATCCAGGACCCCCAGCCGGGCGCGGGTTAAGATGAGTTTTTGAAAGCTGAACTTTTAAGTCACAGGTCGGCTCAACATCACGTCAAACACCTGAAATTGGGCTTTCAGTGGCATGGAGTTAGAACCTCGCACTTGGCATCTCTTGACATAAATTCTGTCAAAACTGTGCACAATCCTTCAAAGAAGTGCTACACGAATGTCAGCTTCATGTAGAGGTCAGTCAAGCATAGGTCAGCGTCAAGGCCAGGTCAATCAGGTAAGCATATATCACTGAAAAGCAAACTTGTATTCGCAACATATGACACATGTTCTATGGGTACTTTTAGGCGAAGAACACGATTGTGACATTGATTGCATCATACGAGTACGTGTTGTGTGGAAAAAGATCGATTTAACCCCCGCGTGTGTAGGGGGGTCGGATGGCCCTCGGTTTTCGCGAATAGCTCGCGCAAAAAGCGGACAATCGCGACGAAACTTTTAGCACCTCGAGTTATCAATTTTAAACCGACTCTGAAAACTTCATGACCCTGGCCCAAATGACTTTTGACCTGTGACCTATTTCTCGATAGCACGTTTGCCCGGAATCGCGATTCAGCGTATGTCAGCTCACATTATTCGCGCGTTTCCAGTCTTTTTGTGATTGTAAATGCTCAAACATGTGAAATGATGTTCGTCCCATGAGTTACGGCGGATGTCAAGGTCACCTGAAAGTAAGGTCAGGTCATTGACCTTTCATGACCTCGGTTCTATTTTTCGAGTTGTACATGTTTCTAGGGTAGTTTTTTCGGGCTGATTTCGAATTTAGCATTCATTTGAACATTTACGAAGTAATTTTGGTGCCTTCGTAACATGTTACGACGCCGTCAGTGGTAGCTGACACCTACTACGGATAGCCGGCAGGACGCCTACTGGTTGACCTGGCCTGACCTGACCCGACTTGGCCTAAATACATGAAGACATCATCTATGATCAAAATTAAGATGAAATACGTGATCACCACCCCGAAAAACCCCATAGCAGCTTCACAGTAACACAAGTACAGGCTTCTTACCCTCAGGGGATCTTTGGCGCTTATCAACAAGTGCGCAAACCAAAATGAGCCTGATCGGACGTGTTAGCCGGCGGCCAGAGCCTTAATTGTGAACAAGCTTTAAAAAAATGCTGATAATTTTTAATTTGATCTGACCAGTGACGTCATCGGTGACCTCAAGGTCAATGAAATTAGTTTCCGCCCGACACTTTGTCCAGGGCTGTTAGCCGCCGTTCGTTTGAATTTTAACAATCGGACCAGTGGTTTCGGAAATAGGAGGGGGAGGGCTCTGTAGAGTCCCCCCTCCCCCCAGTCAGCCGCGTTTTGGAAAATACCCCAGCCATGCGCTGGTTAATGGACGTGTCTGAGCATGGAAAACACGATGGTGCCAAAGTCGCGGCTCTGCGACCATTTTTAGCAAAGTTCATAAAACACGAACCTATACTTTGGTCATTGGTGCACTTGACCTGAACTCAGAGGTCACCAGTCAACTTGAGACCTTAAAATCGGGTAACAGTAGCTGTGTCTTGTAACGTCGCTCGTTTCTTTTGCGAGGCTTTTGCTCCATTGGTGACGAAACGGCGAGGGGGCTGTACCCCACTTCCCCTTGGCCGGTACGTATGTAGAAAACTAATAGGTCCGGCGAGGGTTAAAGGGATCAAAATGCTCTCCAAGCAAATTCATTAAGTAAATATGCAAAGTATTGCATGTATTGCAGAAGTCATCGACATACACGACAAGCACTCTTCAAAGACAAAAAAGAATCGAGAAAGTGTAACATCACTTCATCAGTTGGCAGAATGTCACTACTGCAGCGGCGGCCATTGGTAGGAGGTCACACCAGGTCAGTTCAGGTCAGTCCAGGTCAAATCACCCGTTTGAAGGCTGTGTGTTATGGCTCCGTGCAGCCGAGTCCATTAGAACTGCTCGTCGAAGGTGACCTGCTGCGGCGCGTTGGCGAAGGCGGCGGCCTGCGCGGCGGCGTTGGCGTCCACCGGGATGGCATCGCCCTGCGGCTGGAAGCCGTTCTCGTCGGCCACCCAGTTGACGGTGATGGTCTGACCCTCAGGGGTCTGGAAGCTATAGGATCCCTGCATGACGATGCCGATCTCCTCTCCGATTTGTTTGGGCTGTCCGGCCACGTCCTGCTGGATCGGGTCGGTGGTCTCAAAGCCGTACTGGAACGAGCCGTCATCGTTCATTGACGATTCCATGCGCAGGATGCCGGCGTCCTCAAGCGTCTTGTATGTGATCTCCTGGAGGATTGGGGAGTCGTCGACGAAATCCTGCGGCCGGGCCGCGGCCAGGGCCACCAGACAGAAAACCACGAACTGAAATGGGTCAAACATTCAGAGACAGTCGAAAAAAAAAACGTTGGGCGTCGTTTTGGTTGGCAGGTTAGCCTAAACATAAAGGGATATGGTACTGCGATATTCATATCTTCCTTCGATCATGAGTTTTACTGATATTTCCATCTTAGTTTTAGAAGATCAACTGCTTATTATTAGACTTTACCCATATCATGCTAAAAAGCATGGATGTATGCACATTGCACATTGCACAATCATATGGCCAGTACATTCATTTCGATCTTAGTCGCACAAACGTATGCATTTAGCTATCATGTAAACTTTAATATTGTCGTGAGCACGAGAACGGCCAAATCGCTACCGTTTATCTCTCTCGTTCTCGCTGTTGTTTTGCTACTCACCAGTTTCATAGTGGATGTTTTTGAAGCTCCTCGGGCTCTCGGAGATGCCGGCACTGTACTGTGAACGTCGCCGGTGGCTCTCGGTTTTATACATGCCCACCATCACCAGGTAATCCTCTAATGTCGACATCAATCCTTCAAAATGCACGCAGTAAACCGTCACTCGGAAATTAAATTACAACTTTACCATACCACGGACGTCAATTGGAAGCCTCAGCTTTGAAGAGGATCCCGTGCGTAGCTAATCCGTTCGGTAGAAAAACCAATCTTCACCCCTGACAGGCCTTCACGCGTTATGTAAGAATCCAGCCTTAAAGGCGTGACAAACCAAATAATATTGATGGCTGGTAAAGCCGCTGTTCCCCTTCAAGACTTATAAGTTATAGTAGCTAAAGAAACAGGGTACTGAGGGAGACCCTTTGAAGCAGTACAATGTGTATTTTTGAGGCAAAACAGAGCTGCTTACACTTTAATTCCGTGCTAGTTTTTTCGTATGCAGCTTAAAGCTCTTATCAGAAGCTTCCTGTCACGTTCTTTCGTTTGCAGCTTCGTGCGTTTCGCTGCGCTCATTGGTTCTTGAGTTATTGGCTGGGGGGGGGAGGGGCGTGTAATCCCCCCAGCAACTGGTGGGTAGCGAAATATCCCATCAACTGACGGGTAAAACAAAGTAACTTGTGTGGTATAAGTGAAGACGATTGCGCATTTTCCCACCAACAAGTGTTTGCCGTTTGTTCTCAAAGAGATACTCTGAATCGCTGACATACTTGTGACGTCATTAGCCCACTGGTCGTCCGTCTTAGCCGATAGACAGCCGACACCGGAAACATACGTACCGTGGCGCGTTGATTAGCGTCTAGCGAGTTCTCTCTGCACCTGACCTAGGGGTAGCACGTTTGGTTCCAAGGATATCAGCGAACGAGGTTAGAGCCCAGCTAAGGGATCGACGGCCCTTGAGCTTTCGGGGACATAATACATAAATAGATATCTTTGGACATAGGACATATAAACAATGAAGTCTATGAAAATGGACGTCTTACGTCTCTCACAAGGGATACAACTCACCTGCAGCAGTGGTATACACTTATACAGCTATAGGGCTAAGTTATGATTAATCGAAGAATGCGGCTTTTCTGCTTGAAACGCGTATTTTCAAAGATGATCGTCCTTAGCTCGGTTAGAAGCCGAATGTTGTACTAAACGTAGTTTGAGAGAATTGAAATTGTCCACTCTTTGAAGATCAATGTCGTCACATATTTCGTAAACTCTTCTCTTGAAGCGAAGGGGGTCGTAGGTATGGAAATCAGCAGGTGTTTTGACTGAAGCTAGTGAGACAAAATTGCGTATATTACTGCGGCTCAATGCATACAGTGGGTTGGCTTGAATCAAAACTCAGTCAGCGCCCAACCCCGGCAAATGTCACACCCACGTCCCACACCCACCTCCCACTCTCTGGCTCTGCGAACCCAGCGGGTGTCACTCTCCCTCTCATATCTGCAGCTCGGAGCTGCGCCGCACCCCGGCCGAGTCGCGCGGCTGAGGACAGGCCGACCCGGCGGGGTCGCCGGGCGGTCAGAACACAGAGAGCCATACAAATGACACCGGACCGTGTGCGAATGGAAATCAGCCGGCCACCACGTGACCTGACCACGTGACACCACGATGAATGCTCCCCTCAGTGCAGGCGGGAATTTACATAGTGGTGCGTCTGGTGGCCGGTGGGTCGCCCATAGGGCCCGGCCTGTCGAACAGGCCGGTATAAAAAGGTGGCCAGCTGGGAGGTGTGCAACAGTCTCACCTGTGCCCCCCTCCCATCGAGACCATGAAGCTGGTGAGTGACCTCCGAGCCCATGGCACACTGCACACAGTTTAACAGTTTTGCTTGGCCATGAGAGGAGCGAGGGACCAGTTAATACCACTGGCGGGAACAAACAATTTGTGATGCCTTTCAGACTAAGAGCTTTGAGCTGAAATTATTTCGGGAAATGGTTGTTTCAATTTAAGCCTTTTTCGTTCCATAAATCGTTCTCTGGGCTTCATTTCGTTTTCGCCCGCCTGCCCTCGTGTGGTGACCGCACATTGGAACTGTTCGTCACCGAGTCTCACCGATGTGCGATATATGAACCAATGGGCACTCAGTTACTGCTTTCGCAAGCTGCCAGAAAACAGTAGTGTGGAACTATTTCTCAGATGGGAAAATGGGTCTGCTCGTCGCCCATTCTTGCTCCAGTTTTGCGGACTGCAGATTGTTGTCCAAATTACTACTAGCTGAGCTCTCAGCTGTGTGCTTTGTGACACCGTCTTCTCACCATCCTGTGTCTGGCCTCCCCACCAGGTGATCCTCTGCCTGTGCGTGGCCGCGGCCGTGGCGAGGCCCCAGGACACCCCGCCGGCGGAGCTTCTGCGGCTGGACAGCACCCAGAACGAGGACGGCTCCTTCCAGTACGCCTTCGAGACCAGCGACCCCATCACCGTCGAGGCCGCCGGACAGGCCAAGCAGATTGGAGAGGAGATCGGAGTCGTCATGCAGGGATCCTACAGCTTCGAGACCCCTGATGGTCAGACAATCACCATCAACTGGGTGGCCGACGAGAACGGCTTCCAGCCGCAGGGCGATGCCATCCCGGTGGCTCCGGCGGTTTAAACGTGATAATTCATTGGCGCCGACTCACTGATCCATTCCGACCCCGCACGATTCGTCCATGTTCATTTAGTTGTTTTCATTTTATTGTATATTGCACATGTTCGCTGCCGAATACATACATCGCGGCCACATGAAGCGTGTGAAACCGACACGGGGATGAGCCAGAGTAGGACTGGCCTCGAACAAGGCACTGAGCAGTGAAGGCCTGCTCACTGAGCAACGATCCAGATGTGCTGGTCCTAAGGATAGTGAGCACAGCTGGAGTATGCACTGTTGCACTGTTCACTTTAGCAGCTATATTCTGTTGTTGGCTTGTTTTAATTGTAAAAGCATCAAATTTAAAAGTTTTTTTTTTTTTTTTTTGCTCATGAAGGCCTCATAACTCTGAAACATGCGACTTTCACCCTTTTTGCGTTACTGGGCTAGGTCCTTCTGGTCAATCAAACCATTTCAGAATAACTGGGATGAGAGCATGTGTGAAACATTTGGCTGATATGTCTAACCGCTGGTAGCAGCTGAACCCATTCCGTGGGACAGGCACCCAGCGGATGGGCATGAGTGACTACCAACCATAAAAGCGCCACTCCGTTGTAAGATTCCTTTCTAGGAGCTATCCTTACGTACCGCTTGCCTCATTGGCTATCAGCACGAGTTAGAATATCTTAAAAAATGGGCTATCAAATCATATTGTGTAAAAAGACTCGGATACTCTGCAACGTCATGTGGGAGGCGTAGCACTGGAAATTCTAGTTTTCAACTTTAAATCGCAAGGAATCGCACATAATTGTCCAACAGTTTCCCGTTAGCACTTTTCATGACTAAGCATTGGGCCCCATTTGCTTGAATTTGCTTGAAACAAGAAGCATAGCGATGGCGATATTTCATTCGAAAGGTGAAAGCCAAACTAGGAAACAAACTGAGGGCAGGGGGCGTTTTCACCCCCCTCAGGTTTTTCTTTGCAAATATCTCAAAAACGGCAGCGCGTAACGCCGCCGTTTGTGGCACACCTCTTCATATATCTTTTACTCACAACTTACAGACCCAGGGCAATTAAGGTCAGGTCACCGTCACGTCAAGTGACCTGACCTCCTAAAAAGTTTCAATGTCCGCCATCTACACCGAGTGACCGATCGCTTTCAACATTTATGGTTGATGAGAGCAACAGTATGTACAAAAAGTAGGTATGTCTCGGGATTTCGATATCGGTGACCTAAGGTCAGGTCAATTTTGCGACCTCACCATTATAAATCAATGGAAAAAATTGAAATGTGCTTATTTTGGACGAACATCATTGTAAACACTTTCAAACATCTCATTACAAGTAAACATGACACACTGAACCGGAAAACGACACCCGCGGCCTCTCCTTATGTCCCTGAGGTCATCTCAGGTCGCAAATGTTGTCTAGTAGTTTTTCGCTAATTACTTCAGATAGAGGCATGCTAGAGCGATGGAAACGCCTTAGATGTGTTCGGCTCGACAATACGGATCGACTGATATGCAACATGACCTTTTCCGGTCAGGTCATGATCTGGACCCGAGGTCAAATTTTCAAATTGACTTCTCAAGGTCAGCTTATAGTTCATTCGAAGCGTCTCGACAAGAGAAACACGATGCTGGCAAAAAAAATGTCGAGACCCTCTTGAGTCAAAAGTTATTGAAAAAGAGTATTTTTCGTAAAACGGCTATTTTTCAGTTTTTGCCCTCTGGAGGCTAAACCGCTGGGCTGAGGTCAAATCTGATGACAAGGAGGCAAATCCCGTCTTTGCCTTGGTTTCATGTTGCATCTAAGCACATAGGACGCGGTTGATAAGCTTTCTTGGTCAGGTGGGTGGATTTTGCATTGCAATGCGATGCAAGCAGCCTTCAGTTTGTTTGTCGCGAAGCTATTGAATACGCCACTCTTGCTTTCTATGAGGCGATCGGCTGCGATCAAGGATGTGTTCAATGTCTCCGCCATTTACATGCGGTAACCTTGCTAACCTTTTACATAATGCATGCTACCAAATATGCACACCCTACATTCTGGACGGCAGCATTCAGGTCACGTTCATGCATTTGAACAGCCCATGATGTTGATTTTCTTGATCCCGTTTTATGAAGCTTCAAATTTAATTTACCCTCCTTCGTTACAGATGCTTTGTGAATAATTTGTTGAAATATTTTTGAGGCATATATTGTAGCATTCAAACACATGTATTACATCAGCACGATTGTACCAATGAGCGCTCTGGACTGGCTCCAGCCACCTGTGTGCCCGCGTTAGTGCAGACGGGGCCGCTCCTATCACAGCTGACGCGGCCTGAGACACGAACAGAGACACGAACAACGCGGAGAGACACGAACAACGCGCACATCACAATACAAACGGACAAAACACGAACGTCCGACAACCTCACGAGTCACGCAACTCGCAGCCACGCGATACAAACGAAACACGACACAGACGGAGACGGAACACGAACATCCGACCTCATCGAGACACTCGGCTCGGCACGGGGTGGCAGAGACGCCCGCCGACGCGTCACCAGCGCCGCCGCTGCGCCTCCACTGTCACCTGCCAGGGCCGAGACATTGTCCGGTGCGCCATGAGTGTAATAACACGGTCACGGACTCATAAAAACAAAAACATCACACGTAATAAGATAATGCCCTGAATTGGATCTCTGAGGCGTTAAGACATACTGCAGCAGCCGATCTCCAACGGTAACCGATCTCCAGTCCGCCGCCTACGACGGCAGGTGGTCGCCCTCGGCCTGGAAACCGTTCTCGTCGGCCACCCAGGTGACGGTGTAGGTGACGCCGTCGTCGCCGACGAAGCTGTACGATCCGCGCATCACGGTGCCGAACTCCTCGCCGATCTGTCGCTGCTCTCCCCGCACATCCACCGCCTGGCCGTCGGTCTGCTCGTAGCTGTAGGAGAACGAGCCGTCGGGGTTCTGCACGTGGCTGGAAAGGAGCACCTCGACCGGCGGGTCCGGGGGCGAGTCTTCCTCGGCTACCGGCGAGCCCTCCTCGACCGCCGGCGAGCCCTCCTCGACCGCCGGCGAGCCCTCCTCGACCGCCGGCGAGCTCTCCTCGACGACCGGCCGGCCCGCGGCGGCGAGCAGCAGCGCGGCGAGCAGCAGCTGAGGGTGCGAGATGGTGGTCATAGTGATCCGAGGATCCTTAGTCGGCAGGGATGAGAATTCTACCTGAACGGCATTGTAAGAAAATCTTAAAGAAAGCTTACTTGAATTAAACAACACGATCATAATCACTGAAGTATCTTTGTATCACCCTGTTCCTACTTACGAGTCTCATGTCCGAGTGTCTGTGAGGGTGCTGCTGATGCCCTGGGACCGACTGGTGTCCTCCACACATCCTCCTGCGTTATATATAGAGCGTCCCGCCCACAAACACATGGACTCCGCCCGAGGCGGCGCCCAAACTCGGGCCCTCAGTCACTCGCCACACCGCCCGCGGCTCTGTTTCATAATGTGCGTGAACTGTGCGTGCCGGCGCCGGTGAGCGGTCAAGGTGACGGTCACGGCGCCGCCGCCAGAGCCGCCGCCGCCGTCGCGTCGCCCTGTTCAGAAGACCGATCGGCGCGCCTGACGGCCCGATACGGCGTCACCGGAGACGGCGTCGGTGCGCGTTCGCCCCGGGGCGGTGCGTACGGTGCGAGTGGGCGTCAGGTTTCGTCAGTGTTCCACCGGGGTCAGTGAACGAGGGTCATGGGAGGGGAAGGTGGGTGCTGTGAACCATAAGACTCGACTGATCAGCTGGTGTTCGGCTGAGGGCGATGACGACGAGATGGTGGGAGATGAACTGGAAATAGCGATAGAATCTTTGTGATTTAAGTCTACATAATAATTAAGAAAAATCGTTGCTTTGGTTTCATTACTCCAATTACCACACGGATTTCGATTTGAAAATGGCACATTTGAGTTCGGTGGTTACATTGAAAATAAAAGCAAATTGTAACTGTTTTTTATACGCATTATTTATCTCTAATGCAATGGAAAGTGGTGTTAAGTCCCATATCCCGTATGTAATTGAAAGTATCAATGCAATGACATTTGATTTCTGACTAATGCTTTCGGTGATTTCGTTACAAGGCATTTCTATTTTAGGCCACGTTTTTCTTCACCGGCTACCCTACCGATGCGTCTTTTTGCCAATGACTGCTGAATAGCATACCTATAGGCCATCGTGATTGGTCGACTGTGTCTGGGAAGCCCGAGCACCCTCTCCTCTACCAATCCAGCGGCGTCGGCTGTGTTATGTGATCGCTGTCATCACGGCGGTCACCTGTCACCATCTGTCAGGACTAGCGGCGGTGACACTGTCACCCCTGCTCAGCGGGACCATCCAGGCAGCCCTCCCACCGGAGACCCGTGTCCGAGGGGATTACGGTGGCTCACCGGGCCCCCTGTGGCTCTGCACTATGCACGCGCCGGCCGGCTGACGCCGAGTCTCGGCCCTCGGCTGCTGCACCCTGGGGGCAGTCAAGGTCAGCAGCTGCTGCCAAGGTCGCCCGGCTGGCCGGAGCGTCTGCCGCCGCCGGCCCTTTCACCGCGCCGAGACGTCACGGACACCCGAGAGGGCCACGAGAGGCGGCGGCCTATTAGCATACGTCACATTCGGAAGGCGGATCAGCCGCACAGCCACCGGACAGAAGACACGGGATTCTGTATGCGGAGCCACCAGATTAAGATATTGAACAGCGCATCTATCGGAGGTGGCATCGTTGATCGGATGGATGATTTTGTAACCGGTAAGTCATCCCGCAGTCCTGCGCGGTGAAGATGAAAAGGCTGGCGTTGTTGTCCAGTTGGTTTGGTCATCTGACGCACGCAGCGCGCCTCAAACACTCGGGACATTTTTCAGAAGCGCGCTGGAGGAGGGCTGAGCAATGACAACACTGGACTTTGGATGTCGGTTACCTATAGTGGGAACTGGCTTCTGAGCACTGAACAGTCACGGCATTGTGATGGTCAGTGGACGCTGAACATTGACCCCATTTATGCATAGGTGAGCAAATCAGTGAATACCTCAGTGGACGCGTCTGGCACAAACAGAATCCCACCTGCCTCGGACGGTGCCAGAGGGGTCAGAGGTCCCCCAATGACCCGGGTCGACGCACCGACCGGCCCTGAACCCAGGCGACAGACGCCCATACCGGGCAGCACTGCTGTGAGGTCGTTACCTGAATATGTCCCGAGGCCACAGGCCGAGAATGGACGCCTATGAGAGGACCACATTCCGAGAGACAAATTTGTGTACAAGCACAGCGTGCATTCACGTTGCGTTCCCGACGGTTTCTAAGCTGGTTTCCAGGCTCGACACTACCGCATGTGCGCATGATTTGTTAACAGAATCACGCAATGAATGCAAACGAGGTTTCAAATGCTGCAACTATACTTGAAAATTTGCCAAAAACATGGTGATAACAATAAGGCTTAGTGTGCAGAAAAACTCCGAGTTCATAAGAAATATGAATCATGCCGACGTCTGAGGTCTTAGCTACAGACTAAATGATGCCCATTGTCTGTCATAGACCTCTGTACCTACACCTTCGTTTCTATTGCACATATCTGTCCTCCAAACATCTAGGCCTCTATAAATCGTTGCTTCTTCACTCAGTCCGGGTGTTCAGAAGTCTATATACCTATCCATATTATTATCCATGCCTACAGAGGATACATTAAATTGTATTATTTTATCAATAAAATAGCGGTAGATATGTGGTTGTGGATGTGGATGTCACAGCCTCACAAATGACCCACGCTTTCTCCTTACTTGAATATACAGGGTGTCCCAGAAGTCTTGAAGCTTTTTATTTTTGTCGTGTGACCTTGCTATGCCACTGATTAAGGCAAATGACGCCTCAAACGAAAGAGAATGAACTGAAGTTTTGTATTTTCATGCGTAGAGCACCACTTTAGTTAGGTGGCCCCCGTTGTGAGTCGCACAAGATTGAGCACGAGAGATCACGTTCTTCGCTGCCGCCAAGATCTCCCGGTTTGCGAAACACCGGTGTCGCCATGCCCGTTTCTGGTCAGCTTCAGAGCCTTATTTCATGAAGCGAGCCAGGAAACAGAGCATTGGATCTCGGAGAAAACATTAGCAACATAATGATTTACTGATCAGAAAGTCTCCTGACATGTTTGCACGCATCCATTACCAAAATAAGGCTCAGCTGTTTGAGCGCGCTAAGCAACAGCCCGTTGTAATCCTTTGATTCGTTGCATTATTATGGGGCTAAAACAAATATCAACCCGTCGCAAATATATGTCGCTAATATTATGTCGCTCGCTTCAGGGAATAAGACTCTGAAGCTGACAAGAAACGGGCATGGCGAAACCGGTGTTAAGCAAACCGGGAGATCTTGGCGGCAGCGAAGAACGTGATCTCTCGTGCTCAATCTTGTGCGACTCACAACGGGGGCCACCTGACTAATGTGGTGCTCTACGCATGAAAATACAAAATTTCAGTTCATTCTCTTTCGTTTGAGGCATGATTCGCCTTAATCGGTGGCATAGCAAGGTCACACGACAAAAATAAAAAAAGCTTCAAGACTTCTGGGACACCCTAGGTACAAGGTATACGCTGCAGGGAACTAAAAAGGTGAAACAACTTTTAATGACCATAATCTTTTTACAAAAAAAGCATTAAGTTTCACATTCACCTCACTGCTTTAAAGTTCCCTCTATTGTTTTCCCACATGACCCACGCTGCTTACTGCTTGACTAATCGTGTACATTTGTACACGTATACGTTGTATATAACAGACAGACCCTTCAGCCTTGACATGGTGCTGTATGCTTGTACGACTTTCGCCAGTTTAAGCCGTCAGTGACGTCACACCGTGTTCCTATAGGGCTCGCAACTCGGAACGGTGCTTGTACGGCAATAATAAGAAATTCATATGTGCACTGTCATGCGTCAGCAGTCATACTCAGCACCGATAGTAGGCATATACAATATGCATCGTATAATTGCATATGCAATATGCATGCATAAATGGCAGCTGGGTATCTTTTTGAAGCAGCCAAAGGGACACAGAACATGTTACATGAACCATCTACCGAGCGTGCTGCCTGCAACCAGCTTTGTGCCGGCATTACTTTACGCTTAACGAGTCATGTAATTCGCATTGACCCATCTATTCATTGACGTCACCTGCGGTCCTGGAAGCTTTGCAAATGCAAATCTTTATTGACGACACAAACAGGCATACAGCAAACAGTAAGTATCTTCTTGAAAGGAGACACGGGAGAGAGAGAGAGAGAGAGAGAGAGAGAGAGAGAGAGAGAGAGAGAGGAGAGAGAGAGAGAGAGAGAGAGAGAGAGAGAGAGAGAGAGAGAGAGAGAGAGAGAGAAAGAGAGAGAGAGAGAGAGAGAGAGAGAGAGAGAGAGAGAGAGAGAGAGAGAGAGAGAGAGAGAGAGAGAGAGAGAGAGAGAGAGAGAGAGAGAGAGAGAGAGAGAAGGGGAAAGAGAGAGAAGTGGAGAGGAGAGGGAAGGGACATGAGAGGGGCAAACAGATAAGAAGACATTTTCTATTGTTATGACATATGTATTGATTGACTCACGAAATGATTTTATTGTACTTTTGAGCAAAATTTCAATGAAATCATATCAATTAACCCTCGCCCGTCCTGACGTTTTTACAGCCGCTAGCCTATAGGGTCGACCACCCCTTCTAGTGTTCAACCTTTCAACAAAGTCAACCGAGGTCGCTAAAGATTAAAGTCCTTAACCTGACCTTGACGTGACACGAACATCCACCATAATCCATGGTACAAACATTATGTTGACATGTTTCTTATCACAAAAAGTCCGAAATGTGACTTGCGTCGTATCGCCATCTGGCCTAACATGACCACGAGTAACAGCAGAGGTCAATTAAGTCAATAAGGTCAGAGTCATGAAATTTCAAAGACTGTAAAATTCATTGACCGGCGAATAATAAAAATTTCGTCGCGATCTGCTTCATCCGTGAGTTATTTGTGAACAAACGAGGGAGTCCGTACGACCCTTCCCTTAAAGGGCGAGGGCTTAAACGATGGTCGATGAAGTCACGGATCAACAGTTACGGCGTTTATTAACCCGCGCCCCACGGGGTGGGCTATTCATAGCCCCCTCCCGTTTTTCTGCAATAACTTCCAAACCGCTTGATGTATCGACGCCAAACTTTCAGTACCTTCGGCTGCATCAAGTTGACACCTTGTGTCAAAATATGAACTTTGTAGCTACCATAGGTCGGCCGGGAAATGACGTCAGAGTGACGTCATGTTCGGCCGATTTTGACGCACAACATTGAACCACGGCAATCGCTCCCAATAGCTCAGTTTTTAAGCTAGATCCAATTTCTTTGCAAGAGAGGACTCAGAAAAGACTGCGCTATCAAACTGTTATCTCGGTTTTTCCAAAGTTTGAAAATTTTGAAAATTATATATAATAAGATTTAAAATTT